TCACTGAAGAAGGCACATTCTCCCCTCTCTCTTCTTCCTCCTCTGAGGCAATTTCTTCAGCTTCTATCTGTTGCTGTTCCATTTGAAGATGTTGCAACTCTTTAGTGGTTAGCTCTTCCCTGTGGTTGTCCACCAACTCTTCCACATCCTGGCCACTCACATCCAACCCCATGGACTTCCCCTAATCCACAATAGATTCCACAACAGATGTAGGGTAGTCAGGGTCACCCTCAAACCTTTCAAAATCCTTCTCTTGGACACATTCTGGCCACAACTGAATTCTATTGTGTTTCTCGAATATTACGAAATGTTTGGGATGAACTTGCAGGGTAATGCTCACTCAATAAGAAACAAAGCCAGACTGACTCAGAATGCAATGCTTTGTGTGGGAGCGGGCAGGTGGACACGTTCGGTATGGTGGACCGACGAAAACCGAGGTGACCGAGAACTGGGACAAAATTTTGACGAAAAAGTTGTCGTAACCCAGGACAAACAAAAACTGAGGTTCCACTGTAGTGGGATGAAGAATCATCTCTTGCCAATGTCCAGCAATAACCTGCAAGCATTCTTGTGCCCCATTTGCCCAAGTACCATTTTTCCATGGTTGAAATATCTTGGTCAAACCTTTCACCATGTTCGTCACTGCCTCACAGTTCGCTGGAAAAAAGTCTAAAAGTGAGTCCAAAAAGTGGATTTTAAGTGACATGTTCCATCCCATGTTCTTGTAAGCCTTCATCTGACTCGAAGGATATCGAAGTTGGTGCATCAGTAGCAGGGAGACCTTCTCCATGTGGAACTGGGTGAATAGCTGATGGAATGTTTAGATATTCAATGGGCACCTTTTTCTTCTTTGACAAGCCCTTTTGTACTGGAGGTACCATGCAGAAATAACAATTGTTGGTATGGTCTGTTGGCTCCCACCATGTCATTGGCACAGCAAAAAGCATTTCTTTCCTCTTCAACCATTGGCAAAGGTTAGCAGCACAATTGTTGCAGCATATGTGTGGAGCCCAATTCTTATCCTGGTCACCAATCTTGCATCCAAAATATAGGTGATATGGCTTTCTAACCATAGCAGTTATACAGCACTTCTGTGAAGCAAAGGTCACCTCACCACAAATGTAGCAGAAGTTGTCTGCTCTGTTCACACAAGTACAAGGCATCTGAAAGAAGAAAACAACAGTTAGAAGATAAACAGAAAATTTTATCATTATAATACAGAGCATGACAGCTAAGCAGAAGTACTTACATCATTCAGTAGGAAAATAAAATTAATGTATCTCACATGCATATCAATAGCTTGTTCAGTGAATATTTATTTTATTTATTAACACATCAGCCGTTTCCCACCAAGGCACAGTGGCCCGAAAAAAACTTTCATCATTCACTCCATCACTGTCTAGCCAGAGGAATGCCCACACCATTAATACCCCTCTTTCAGAGTGCAGACACTGTACTTCCCATCTCCAGGACTCAAGTCAGGCCTGCCGGTTTCCCTGAATCCCTTTATAAGTGTTACCTTGCTTACACTCCAACAGCACGTCAAGTCCCAAAAACCATTTGTCTCCATTTGCTCCTAACATGCTCACGCACGCTTGCTGGAAGTCCAAGCCCCTCACACACAAAACCTCTTTTACCCCTCCCCCTCCAACCTTTCCTAAGCCAACCCCTACTCTGCCTTCCCTCCACTAGATTTGCATACTCTCTTAGTCATTCTATTTCATTCCATCCTCTCTGCATGTCCAAACCATGTCAACAACCGCTCCTCAGCCCTCTGGATAATAGTTTTGGTAACCCCACACCTCCTTCTAATTTCCAAACTATGGATTCTCTGCATTAAATTCACACCACACATTGCCCTCAGACATGACATCTCCACTGCCTCCAGCCTTCTTGTTGTTGCAACATTCACAACCCATGCCTCACACCTATACAAGAGCATTGGTATAACTATACTCTCATACATTCCCCTCTTTGTACCACTCACCTTTTTTCCCCTTGTCAATTCTATGATTCACCTCATTCTTCATAGACCCATCTGCTGACACATCCACTCCCAAATATCTGAACACATTCACCTCCTCTGCACTCTCTCCATCCAATCTGATATCCAATCTTGCTATCTAAGTTTTTTTTTTTGTTATTCTCATCACCTTACTCTTTCCTGCATTCACTTTTAACTTCCTTCTTTTACATACCCTACCAAACTCATCAACCAACCTCTGCAACTTCTCTTCAGAATCTCCCAAAAGCACAGAAATTCAATGAAGAGAAATTTCAACTCTCAGATATGGGAAACTTGAGGAAATTAAAAATATATCAGGGTGTATGACAAATTCTAATCATACAATTAAGCTGAAAAGTAATGTGAAGGACCTGAGAGTGATAATGTCAGAGGATCTTGCCTTCAAAGACCACAACAATGTATCTACCTCATCTGCTAGGAAAATGATAGGATGGATAATGAGAACCTTCAAAACTAGGGACACAAAGCCCATGATGATTCTCTTCAAATCGCTTGTGCTCTCTAAGCTGGAATACTGCTGTACACTAACGGCACCCTTCAAGGCTGGCAACATTGCAGACCTGGAGAGTGTACCAAGAACTTTCACGGCACTCATAAGTTCGATAAGGCACCTAAATTACTGGGAACGGTTGAAGGGCCTTGATCTGTATTCCCAAGAACGTAGACAAGAAAGATATATGATAATATACACTTGGAAGGTCCTGGAGGGATTGGTACCAAACTTGCACACGAAAATCACTCCCTATGAAAGCAAAAGACTCGGCAGGAGATGCAACATTCCCCTGGTGAAAAGCAGGGGCGCCACGAGTACATTGAGAGACAACACAGTAAGTGTCCGGTGTCCAAGACTATTCAACTGCCTCCCAGCATACACAAGGGGGATTACCAATAGACCCCTGGCTGTCTTTAAGAAGACACTGGACAGGCATCTAAAGTCAGTACCTGACCAACTGAGCTGTGGTTCGTACATCAGCTTGTGTGCGGCCAGCAGTAACAGCTTGGTTGATCAGACCCTGATCTACCAGGAGGCCTGGTCTCAGACTGAGCTATAGGGGCATTGACCCCCAAAACCCTCTCCAGGTAAACACCTCTTGCCAACACCCGAGCATTCACTTCTCTTACTACTCCATCTATAAATACATGTATATTGAACAACCATGGTGACATCACACATCCCTGTCTAAGGCCTACTTTTACTGGAAAATAATCCCCCTCTCGCCTACATACTCTAACATGAACCTCACTACCCTTGTAAAAGCTTTTCACCGCTTTCAATAACGTACCTCCTATTCCATACATTTGCAACATCTGCCACATTGCCCCCTTGTTCACCCCATCATATGCCTTTTCCAAATCCATAAATGCCACAAAAACCTCTTTACCCTTATCTAAATATTGTTCACCTATGCATTTCACTGCAAGCACTTGGTCTACACACCCCCTACCTTTCCTAAAGCCTCCTTGTTCATCTGCTATCCTGCTCTCCATCTTACTCATAATTCTATCTATAATAACTCTACCATACACTTTACCAGGTATACTCAGCAGACTTATTCCCCTATAATTTTTACACTCTTTTGTCCCCTTTGCCTTTATACAAAGGAACTATGCATGCTCTCTGCCAATCCCTAGGTACCTTACCCTCTTCCATACATTTATTAAGTAAAAACACTAACCAAAAACTATATCCTCACCTACTTTTAACATTTCCACCCTTATCCAATCAATCCCAGCTGCTTTACCTCCATTCATTTATTATAAGTTTAAAAAATGTTTGACTAAGAAAATCACCTACCTTTCAACTCAAAATATAAACTTGCACAGCACAACCACTTCTGATGCTGACATATGAAGTCTGGACTGAATAGGTAAACAAACTCACAACTCTGAACTGTTGTGACATTGTGTAATTGAAATGTAAGCAAACAACATTTAATCATGATACATACATGACCAAATTAGTTGAAATGCACTCTGTTTTCGAAGCTTTGGTTGTTGACATTGTAATTTATACCCACATGACACTCAGATTTGTACCATCATGGATTGACAATGTAACATGACCACAAAGCTCCTATATGTGTAAATTTGATACACAATACCCGCAATAAACAGAAGCACGACACGTTTGGTCCGATTGGACCATGTGTCAATGTTCCAATCGACCGACTCTCGTTAGCTCGTTTGTGTGCGGGTTATTGTGTATCTTCATACACGTAGTTGTGCCTTTATGTTATTTAATTTTGATCTTATGTCTCATCACAAATTCAGAAAAAAATATAAGCTTCGTTCAAAGGAGTTTGTTTTCTTGTGCAATGCCATAGCCAAATTGTTGTGATATATGGTAATAGAGATCTCCTAAGCCAAATATTCTCTTAACCTTTCATTAACAATAATTAAACATTCTGAACCTTATATAGAGATGACTAATTGAATATAAGGCAGGGATTGAACCTGATTTCATGGCTTCTACGGGTTTAGCGCTTTCTCCTGATCATAATAATTTTATTCCCTATCCTAATACATAATAAATATATACCAAGAGCCACACATCACACTCTGGCACTCATCCTCTAATCAAGAACTTGAAAATATATTATCACATTCATGGGGGAACACTAAACCCACAGGGGTCATACAATGCCTTGGGGAATAGAAGGCAATCAGGCTTGATTCAAGGAATATGAGTACTGGTCCAATTCCTTGGATCAAGAGTCCCTCGCCAACATCAAGTAGCTCCGAGGGGACTAAAAAAATCTAAAGATTAATTAACCATAATAACTACAGCCATACTGTCATCCCTTTAACAATCCACAGACCTAAATGTACTTTGTGTATTTATTAGTTATCCCATGACTACTGAAGCAGGCTTAACTGAGATTAAGTATAACAAATAGTTTATGGTAGATGAACATTAATTTTCAAGTCGTGAACTGAGCACATGGGCAAAACTATTAAAAATAAAAGAACAATGTGGATGCATATATTTATTCAGAGCACAGTTTAATACAGCTGGTGTTATTCCCAATTACGACAGACTGTTGGTGTTACTCCCAAATACAATAGAGAGCTGGTGTTACTCCTAAATACAATACTGTTGGTGTTATTCCCAAATACAGTACAATAACTTAAAAAAAAAAAAAATCGAAATTCTTTACTCATTGCTTGATGGTTTGAAATAATTACTCAAAATTATAACAGCAAAATCATTCACCGACAGCAAAAGCAAAGTTTTCTTTGTGCCAAAATATGCAATATTTTAATTAACTGAACTGAAACTAATGCCGTTGAATAATTTAATTTACCTTAAATTTAACCTAATGGCATTAACATAATAATTGAAAATAAAATATCCTTAAGACTATATAAGTGAACATTAAGAACATTAATAAAAGCTAAATGGAACACATACTGTGAAAGCTAAGTCACTGCTTGATATCAGCTACATCACACGAGACACTAATTGACTGTGATATGTGAAACAGCGTGAGACACAGACCATTGGCTGTAGTACATGGGGAAAAAGATCAGGAGGTGCAGCTCACAGCAGACGTGGCGACACAGAAGTGGTGCTCGACAGTGGTAAGGTAGGTGACTTAGACCCATGTGCAACACCTGGGTATCTCTATTTTGTAGACGTTTTGCCAACCAGTGGCTTGTACTGATAAATCCACTACATGGTGAAACATCTATAAGATAATGATATGACAGGGTGTTACACATGTGCCCAATTCACCAACCTGTCGGTATTATATACCAGTGATATAATAATGATGGGGTTGTAGTGTATATAAACCATTTTGCATTTTTACTTACGAACTGCTAATATTAGCTTCTGCTTCGCTTGCTGCAGTGAGCTTTTACCATACTGGACCAAATGTGTCACATTCCCACAATAATGTGAATTATTAAGCATAGTGACTGCAAAGCTTTCTGATAAGCTGTAAATATATATCACTGCAGTGTAAACGTTATATAAAGCCATGAATGCTCAATTAAAAAACCACTAAGATCTGAAACATAAACATAATTGCTACAAAAAAATAAACATTGTACCTAAGATCACTTTTTTTTTTTTTCAGAAGGCCGCATAATAAAGGTGGTTTATCAGTGAAATTAAAATTCCGGTGTTTTTAAAACCAGGAAAAGCTTACACAAAATACCAATACCTGCAACATCAGGTATCAACTGCAGAACAAGGGCAGGACTCCCAAAATCTAACAAAACAAATCATTACAGGGCATTTTACTGTTAGATAATTACAAGAGGACATGATGGGTAGAGAGCGGTGTGAGAGACTAGTGGTGCTGGTGAGAGGCAGTCACTGACAACCTGGTATAGTGCAGCCTCACACACCACCACAACGTGGTGACCATAACTAGTGACTTTAGGTCTGGTTACAACCTAACACTACTCTGAGTGAGGTTTTTCAACTAGCCACATATGATAACTTGTCTCACACACCAATATTTACTACTGCTTGTAATAAATGCATTTAACTGTGATAAATATGGCGGCATCCTCACTCACGGGGAGAGTGGCACTGTCGAATAAATTCAGTCTAAAGGTCAAAAGGTAAAAAAAAAAAAAAAAAATAAACACTAATAAATAAAATATCATAAACACAATGTGTCAGCTTTTAATAGATGATGAGAGGTAAATTTAAACTCGTTCACTACTAAATGTTCGTCAAAAAAACATTATCGACTAAAAAAAATTAAAATTTCATATTGAACAAACTTCATTTTAGTAACACATGTCATCCAAAATATATTTAAAAAAGTTAAACAGTATTGTTTTCTAAAGTTTGCAATTGTAAGAAAGGAGAAGTAGGTGGAGGAGAGGGAGAGCAGGGAGAGGGAGAGCGGGGAGAGGGAGAGCGGGGAGAGGGAGAGCGGGGAGAGGGAGAGCGGGGAGAGGGAGAGTGGGGAGAGGGAGAGCAGGGAGAGGGAGAGCGGGGAGAGGGAGAGCAGGGAGAGGGAGAGCAGGGAGAGGGAGAGTGGGGAGAGGGAGAACAGGGAGAGGGAGAGTGGGGAGAGAGAGAGAGTTAAGGTAGGGTCACGAGACAGGAAAACTGGATGGGGAGGGGTAAAGGAAAAATGAAAGGAAATGAGAAGTGGAAGGAGGGAGAAGAAATGGAGGTGACAGGAGAGAGGCAGACATTAGGAAAGAAAAAAGAAAAAAGTAAAATGTCAAGGCGAGGTGAGATGAAGTTATAATGAAGGAGGCGGAACTAGTAACACGGGGAATAGCATAACCCACATGTGTACAGGGTGGCTCGTGGGGATGTAGGTGGATGAGTGTTTAGTTGGGATGCAGGTGTTAAGGTTGCGGACCCACTGCCTATGCTGGGGTCTCCTCATTCCTACCACCACAGACACCATCGCCTTCTACGTCAGCAACAGGTGGCTGTTGTCAACCACCTGCAACACTGGCATCATACACGTCTTCTCGCAGTCCCACGTCGTTGCTCTTACATCTGGGGAACACAGAACTTTGTGACTCACTTATTCTCTACCGCCAGCGCTATACACAATCTTCAATGATTTACATAGCCTGCCTGAATATTACTAAATATGTTTCGAAATTATACTATAATGGGTTACAATTTCGTTAATGGACAGGAATAATCAGATGCACGTACTTAATGTGGGGGAAACTATATGCAAATTACAGACAAGATTACACAATTGAATGAGCACTATCAAGAGTACTTGCGCTACAGTGGAGTACAATCTTCTGTGGATATCAACAACTACATTTATCTCTGATGGATTTCAAGTTTTTTCCTACTCTTGCAGCCCAGTCTTGGGCCAGACTTGACTGGTTTGCCTGGTCAACGAGGCTGTTGCTACTGACAGCCCACTGACCCACTTATCCATCACGCTTGGCAGAGGTACTCATTGAGTTTTCTCTTCAAGATTTTTACACTTGTTTTACCAGTATTTCTGATATTTTCTGTTAACATGCTGAATAGTTTGGGCCCACAGACATTGATGTAAAATTCTCCTGTGTCCACTCTGCCCCTGTTTGTCACAAGATTCATATTAGCTTCTCCTGTCTCTCTTACTCGACTGTTATGATAGTGTGCAGATCTGGCATATCTAATGACCTTATTTTATGGCTATCATTACATCCTTGAATTTGTATAATGTTATTCCAATATTCAACATTTCAGAGAAACTATTATTGACTACAGAGCGTTGAAAAAATAAAATCTCTCCATGTTGTGATACAGGTGTATTACAATCTATCAACATGCAAATCTGGTGACTAATTATTAAAACACTTATGAGTACCTATACAAAAGTGTACAACTACTAGTGAGAGCTACACAATAGTGTACAACTACTAGTGAGAGCTACACAATAGTGTACACTATATTAGTGATGGAGCTATGCAACGACGACAGCTACACTAGTGAGAGCGACACAATAGTGTACACTATATTAGTGATGGAGCTATACAACAACGACAGCTACACTAGTGAGAGCTACACAATAGTGTACACTATATTAGTGATGGAGCTATGCAAAAGCTACACTAGTGAGAGCTACACAATAATGTACATTACATTAATAATGGAGCTAGACAACAATGACAGCTACACTTGTAAAAGAGCTAAGGCACTACATATAAATTACTCTACAAGCACTACTGCACCTACCACTACTAGTAGCCACACTACGACAGCTCACCAATCATCCTCTATTTCATTGAACTCCACCACCCCATCCCCGGCCGCTCTTTCCATGTCTTCCACCTGAAAATAAAAACAAACATGTTAGCCACAACTACCATCACAACTGACCAGGTTTTAAAGGCATGTCAACATCTGTATATTTGGAGAAAATTGTGAGATTGGAAGAACGCTTGAACCTATAATAAGATCACTTGGAGCTCTTAGCCAAAAAAAAAAAAAAATAAAGATTAATACGAACCTACACATGATTAAGGGCAAAATAACTTAAAAAAAAAAACTCAGCATGGACAAATATATTTTTTAAATTCCAATACGGCTGCAACTAGCAGAACTGTGTCAATACATTAGAGAGAGAAACAAAATATATGGAGCAAATACTTTTGCAAACCAAACCATATACAAAATTCAATCCAAGCCAAACGCTATGCCTCGACAGAGTTACTGGCCTAAGGCCTGTTTTTGATAGCACCCACTAGAGGGCTAGCACTGAATTCTGTTCTTGTCGCTAGCTCTCAGCATCGCTCACGTGGTCTTCCCTGAAGACAAAACCTCTTCTCTTCCTTGGGCAACCAACTTGGCTCTGGGCTCCCTTCTGGAAGAACCCCTATACTAAAAACTCATGATCTAGTATGGCAGCATTTACATTTCCTGCACTGCTCCATACATCTCGGCAACCATAAGCAAGGTGGATTGCCTCTCGCCAGCTACCTTCCAAGCAAACATAAATGGGGAGAAATCAGAGTGGGGAAGCGTCACGAGCGGTGTTCCACAGGGGTCAGTGTTGGGCCCCCTGCTGTTCACAATCTACATAAACGACATAGATGAGGGCATAAAGAGCGACATCGGCAAGTTTGCCGATGACACCAAAATAGGCCGTCGAATTCATTCTGACGAGGACATTCGAGCACTCCAGGAAGATTTGAATAGACTGATGCAGTGGTCGGAGAAGTGGCAGATGCAGTTTAATATAAACAAATGCAAAGTTCTAAATGTTGGACAGGACAATAACCATGCCACATATAAACAAAATAATGTAGATCTTAATATTACGGATTGCGAAAAAGATTTAGGAGTTCTGGTTAGCAGTAATCTGAAACCAAGACAACAGTGCATAAGTGTTCGCAATAAAGCTAATAGAATCCTTGGCTTCATATCAAGAAGCATAAATAATAGGAGTCCTCAGGTTGTTCTTCAACTCTATAATCCTGTTAGGCCTCATTAGATTATGCTGCGCAGTTTTGGTCACCGTATTACAGAATGATATAAATTCCTCTGAAAAATGTACAAAGGAGGATGACAAAGATGATCCCATGTATCAGAAACCTCCCTATGAGGATAGACTAAGGGCCCTGAAACTGCACTCTCTAGAAAGACGTAGAATTAGGGGGGATATGATTGAGGTTTATAAGTGGAAGACAGAATAAATAAAGGGGATGTAAATAGTGTGCTGAAAATATCTAGCTAACAGGACTCGCAGCAATGGTTTTAAGTTGGAAAAATTCAGATTCAGGAGGGATATAGAAAGTACTGGTTATGGTAATAGAGTTGTGGATGAGTGGAACAAACTCCCAAGTACCGTTATAGAGGCCAAAACTTGTGTAGCTTTAAAAAACGGTTGGATAAATACATGAGTAGATGTGGGTGGGTGTGAGTTAGACCTGATAGCTTGTGCTAACAGGTCGGTTGCCGTGTTCCTCCCTTAAGTCAATGTGACCTGACCTGACTAGGTTGGGTGCATTGGCTTAAGCCGGTAGGGACTTGGACCTGCCTCGCATGGGCCAGTAGGCCTTCTGCAGTGTTCCTTCGTTCTTATGTTCTTATGTTCTTATGTTCAAACAGTTGTAACAGCAGCGTTACTGCCAGTAGCAGAGGAGCCGATTAAGAGGCAGCACAAGTAGAGTTAACAGAATCAACGGCAGCGGTGACATCAGCATCAACAGCAAAAGTCCATGTATCACAGCCCATGGCATAATCAAAAGTCATTTCAAGTCAGAGGTTAAAAGTCACACACTAGGTAGGCCCAAGCAGTGCAGACATTAGTGTCAGCAACGGCGGCGTCGGGCTGTTAACCACAGTCCAAACCAAATCCAGCATCATTTCCAAGATATTTGTAATAAACTGTAGCAAATTCTAAAAGGAAAACTTTCCTTACTAGCTAGAAGAAACAACAACTTACAACTTTCACAACTTTAGCCATCCACGTATCCAGTCTTCCATGTAGATTCCAATTCTCTCAGCCTATTTCTTTGTAGTAATTACTATAATGTTGCCATATGCACACTTTTCTTTTTTACTCTTTTCTTAATGTCTTCCAGTGCTTTATTGTCTTCGTATTATTCTTATATATTCAAAACTCCATTGGTTTTTGAATGGTAGTGACACCCCTACCCTTTCCCCTGATTAATATTTCCTTAGTACTTGATATCCTACTGGGATTATTATATCTGTTATATCCAAAAGTTTTGTCCATGCGAGAGCTGTGATGTCTTGGTTTGCCACTGATCTTGTACCATGTACTGATTTGCAGTGCCCTGATTTCCTCTATCACGCTTATGGGCGAAGAAGAAGTGGGGCTGGGAAAGATGAGCCAGAGGGTAGAGGGAGGGAAGAGGTCCATGTGCTGGAAGGGTTCAGGGTTATGAATATAGAGTTTCCTATTCCAGTCTTTGGGCACTTCATTTGGCTGCAACTGTCCTTCACTTCTGTTCTTTGCTGTCCTCTTAATTTTTAACATTAACAAGATTTCCTCACAATGAGCCTTTAACTTGTGTTTCCATTCCTCTTTCAATGTGCACTTAAAACCAGCTAATATAAGATTTGATTAAAGCCCCCCCCCCACATCCTCGTCCACCCCTTCTACCCCATACCTTTTCTCATTTTTTTTATTACCGGCATTCTTTCCAAGGCCATGGAGCCGACACAAAACCTTCGACTCCGACTCCTTTAATTACATTTTACTAACTCCAGTAACCCAAGAATTGTTTCCGACTCCGACTCCACAGACCTTATTCTTCCTCCGAGTTTCACTCAGTCCTGAAACTTATTCCTATAATTTCAGAGACTAGTTAGTGAGACATCATTAATTCTTGGTCAATATTTGATACCAGTCAATTCTGTACAAGTCAAGTGTGTGACTCACTATCAACCAATGTGTGTGGACCAACCCTTGGGATACTGTCTATGTATATGTGTGTTTAAGGGAGAGGGGTGGAAGAGGATGAGCCCAGGGAATGGTATGAGCCAGCCACAGCAGACAGCCAGGATGCTAGCGGCTGAGTAAGAGGGGTAGTTCCCACGAGGGTTGGGTGGCACTGTGGGTGGAGGCGGGCCTGAGTGTGAGGGCGGCCTTGGGTGTGATGGATGCCGGATGAGAGTGGATCTGGCCCACGTGGTTGTTAAGAGTTGGCCACGACGGACGCAGATGATGGATCTGGCGATGGCTCCACTACTCCCCTCCACTCCTCTACTCTTCGCGCCACCAACACAGACCATTTGCTGTCAACCATATACCCAGATTACTTTAAATCTACTACTCGAAGTTCAGTAATAGCAAAAACATTAACGAGGTAACTAGTGGGTAACTACGAGAGATAATGACACATTAGCAAGGGCATGCCAGGATCGTTACCCTCCATGAACACTGCTTCTTGTAAGGAAAACAACGAATAACTTAACACTGCATGACACCTATGTTGTCATAAAGCAAAAATGGCTGTAAGTTTTTCCACACACAGTCTCACACATCCAGGATATTTAACTTTATATATTATGTGATTATGCAGCAAATTTTTTAGATATTTTTGATACTGCCGTATACTGTAATAATAAACTAAACAGCGTCAACTCTTGGCTTAAATGCAAACATTTACTAATTATTTCAGGTTACTGGCTCCAAAGATTTATTTTTACAATTCCTTCTAGTGTTTTATTTGTACAAAATACATAAAACGATGAGAAAATGCTAACATTAAAGATGAACACTTATCAGTGTTCAGTAATAACTCACAAGGAGACAAACTCAGAAGATTAATTGATTTGTAAATTTCGACCCCCTTCTGATGAAGAGAATCCCAGAAGGGGGTTGAAATATACAGATCAATTAATCATCTGAATTTCTGTCTCCACGCGGGTTATTATTAAACATTAAGGATGATTTTCTTTAGTGCGAGGAATATCAGTGTCACTTACATTATAATCATGGGGGAGCGCTAAACCCGAAGGATTATACAGTGCTTGTGAGGGGGGGGGGGAGGGATGGAAGGCATTCAGGCTCAATGCAGGAAACTGGAGTACAGATCCAATTCCCTAGATCAAGAGCCCCTCACCAGCGTCAAGGAACCTCCTTGGAGAGGAGTGTCACTTACAGCAATATACAACTCTCTCATCCTTCCACTGGCAGCTAGTACAATCTGCTGGAATACCATTTTTCAGTGCAACTCTCTGCCTTTCTGGTATCGCTGACCCGACATCAGAAAATTCTTGACTAACCCATTTAACCAAGGTTATAATCTACATTTAAATAGAGAACTTCATTAAACAACACAAGTTTCTGATATAACGCCATGGTTCATATTATCATGCGAAGACCTAAAACCATACGGTGCTTGGGTAATGAGAAGTAATCAGGATCGATCTAAGGAACGGGAGGAGGACAGATTCAATTCCTTGAATCAAGCCCCCCTCCTCACCTGCATCAAGACACGTTCCTTAAGGGACCATGATTCATATGGCAGACACCACTTTTTTCATTCTGTTACGGATTCTGAACTTGAGTAAGCAAAAATGACGATAGTTGTGTCATTGCAATCATCACAGTAGCAAACTAAGCAAGGTAAGTACGTTGACGTGTTGCAGATTTTATTAGAATCTAGCAGGGAGTTCCAGCAAGTTACCACAGTTCATTCTCGGTAAAGGCAATGTACTGGATGCCAGTCTCTAGAATATTACTTAAGAAATACTAATTATAATGCACATTAAGCATGAACAACAATCCTGATTTGTTTACGTATATTAAATGAAAGAACAGTTTCTCCTTAGCCAACCCATACAGAGAGAGGGAG